TGTTCTTTCCATTTAATGTTATCACACTGTACTCCACCATGTCCCAATGTTTACATGAATACTTGTTAGAAAGGTGATTTGGTTTACTGGGAATATTTTCCTTTAAAGAGTGCTAAATGTGTACCTGGCAGATTGTTTTGCTTCCTAAATGCACAAGCTTGTATTATTCACTACATGTCTTTCTTCAGCTTTTTATTTTCTCTGTAACTATAACAGTGTAAGGAAATGAATTATCGCGTTTTAATAAATTAGGCGCCCTAGGGAGAGGGCGGCTGTTACACTTGTTGACTGACTACATTATTACAAAATTCCATTGTCACCTCAGAAGGAGAGTACAGTGTGGCAAAAAGCAAACATATAATACAACTGTCAAGCATAATCTATACTGACAATAAATATTTACAATGCTCATTCTAAAAAGGGATTTTTTTATTTATTTTTTGCTTTTGCTTGTGCCTTATAGGTAGAATGCTGTCAAAACCATAGGATTTTTGCATCCTGACTAATATTATATGAATAAAAGGTATACTTTACGGGTGGCGGAGCTTAAAAGCCTAACTGAACAGATGCCATACTCCAAAGCTCCTCCACAAACTGCTGAATCCAGCCAAATATCTCAAAAACAAAGACCCATCCATCCCTGCAAACCACCCAGCTGGCATCCCCAAGCCAGTACGCATCAATAGGTGCCTTTTTTTCAGCCGCCAAAGCAAAGTGCGGCCTACCTCGCAACAGCAATCCCGGGACTCAAGACTCTCCTCAGCGGCCGGGCCACAACGAGACTTTCAGCCTTGCCACCACACACACACCGCTGCCCCAGTCAGAGCACATGCCAGCAATGGGACGCCGCTCTCAGAGATCGAACGCCACGGCTGATGACAGGGGTATAGGAGACATGCTCCGTAGACCTGGGCAGCCTAAACAGACTCCTGCAGAGGACCCAGGTGTGGAAACCTCAGCCCACGATGTAATGGAGCCCAACACACACCAACAGGCAAGCCTGCTACAGTCTCTCGAGACACAAGATGGGCCAGCCCCCCTTACCAGACACGACTTAAAGCTACTGCTGGTCAATATACAGAAACTGTGGGCGGCAGACCTCACACTCCTGAGTACAGACATCCAGGCAATCACTGACCGGGTACGGGCCTCAGAGGAAGACATTATAGACATCAAGACAGACATCACTGCCATTAAAGAAACAGTACAACTACTACAAGCTGATCAGTCTACACTTTTCCTACAACTAATGGCCCTAGAGGACAGGCAACACTGAAACCATATAAAGATGTTATGTATGTATGTATGTATCAGTATGCCCCTGCAGAAATCACAGCGGAGGAGCTCCCACATTATACCCGGAGACTGTTGTCAACCATTCTGCCACAAATGGCAGCCAAAAATGTTACCATCAATGGGGTATACCGCTGTAACGGATCGCCTGGCACCCCGACTGGGTACCTCCGTTGAAGGATGCTCCTAGCGCTTCCTGAGGACTCCAAGCACTCTGGCAGACACCACAATCACCGAACCGGAGAAACAAATTCTCCCAAGCATATGAATGCTGTAGACAGTTGAATAGGAAACCATACAAATAGGTTTACTCTCCTAGCAGTCAAACTGGAACAGCATACAATAAATCCTTCCCCCAATAATGAGACGACACTTCACTTTGAGGGTTAAAACAGGAACTAACTGTACTGGCACATACAGCCTCTTTTATTCCCAATCCACAAACGTAGTACTGCCCACAGGGTTTTACAGAACAACCAATCAATCTGTACAATACACACAGACACTCCCACACAAAATCCTCCCCTCTGCCTGTAATACAATTACCTTACACAATGGGTAATCTAATTATCACAGACAGAGAAATACAGTTTCAGAAAACACATCACAGGGACCCCAAAACATGCAATAACCCCATAAAAATATCCTTGGAACCGGGGGATCTGGGTGAACCACATATCCGAAATTCACCCAGATCCATTCAGTACTTTGGAAGATACAGTTTAATGCAGATTCTGCAGAACATATACAGGCTAAATGAAAAACAATCACTGTATAATGTGTCCCCTGCTGTATAGTCCAAAACCACTGCACGATGTCTCTGTGCACCAAATACCAGCGAGATGGCACCGTGTTGAAAAGTCCAAACAGTGTCTGTGAGTTAAAATGGCCGCAATCCATTGTTCTCACCATGTGCTTCATCCATTGTTCTCACCATGTGCCTCTGATACAGGAAATGGTGGCCACCCAGTAACTCCACAGTATATCCCCAGATGGTTCTTAAAGGGCCAGCAGCAGCACAACACAAATCCCTTATGCCCAAATCATGTCTTTAAAAGGCAATACATCCCAGGGGCCATAGTCACATGACAGGAGGCTGGCAATCAGTCTTCTCCAATGCCCAGTGGCGAGGTCGGTTTCACCACAACCGCCTAACTGGCTCAACTAACATAGCACCAGATGTCATACTCCGGTGCTTGTTCACTCACGACAAAATACAAATTATCATGGCACTGAGAGGCAAGACACCTCTGACCTTCGAGGAAGCCTCCCCGACTTTTTTGTAATGACACACAATCTAACTAACTCAACAACAGCAACAACAATCTAACTAACAATAACAACTAAATCTTATAAAATCAGCAGATCCCACTAACAGTTCAATATGATAAAAATTAGCCCATGTCTGCTAAAAGATCTGCTCAGTAGCACAGCCAAGAAGGAACAGGAAGAATGGGAATAGGGGGAAGTGGTTCTCTCTTTTCTGACTTGCAAAGGTATTGAATTACCCAATTACCATATGAAAAGGTAAAGCTTATCCCCCTGTGAGAAAGGCATACATGAGCTTGGTCACATGACCCCTGGTCACCATATTAATTTGATGACAGAATGTCACCACAATGGAGAGCCCCTGGAGCCCTGGTAGTGACCCACATCGGAACCGCTCACTTCGATGGAGGAGTCACCAGCATTCTTAACAGCACTGGAATTTACTAACCATAATAAAGTACCACCCTCGGAGAACCCCAGGGCAACATGGGATCCGGACCGCATCACCCTATTCGCTCCACGGGCAGGGGGCTCCAGGACTCTCAACTCACAACACTGAAAGGTGAATATGCTGCACACGAAGATCGGAAGACTGCTGGGTACCCACCCATGGGTCAAGATGACAAATATATAACTCCACTGTTAATCTTGCTTTATTTGTTCCACATTCTCTTTTAGTTCAGTCGAACTCTCCACTTCAGCTAGGGATGCACCAACAGACATTCAACATCACTACCCTTACCATCCCCTTCCCCCCAGCCCCCTAGGTTAAGGGCAACACAAACCGAGGTCTACCCTGATGGCTGACTACCAATCGCTCCATACCTGTCAACACCCAGCTAGCCAGGGCTTCTACCCTCTTGTTATATTGCTTTCGCTAAGCTGACCGATAGCACACAAACAGAAGTGTAGACGCTGTCTGGGAAGGATGCACCTCACATATCCACTATGCACGAGAGCAAAGTCAAGACGTATCTCACATACCTGCTATAGTGGAAAAATGTGGGCTGCTTTTTTCTCTATCTCACTACTTTCCATCTTATGACCATTCATTAGATTACTCTTTTACTATTTTAACATTTTATTATATTTTTCTCCTTCGATATCAATTTATGTAACTAAGTTGTTAACTGTGCATACTCGCTGAATTCCAACAAAAGAGTCAGACATATACATTGATCACAACTGACAATGTCACGTAGTACTGGCTATAAATACCTCGCCTCTTTAACATAAAAATGTGTGTAGTTAAATCAAGATGGCATGTTTGTACCACCATGCACAGAAAAATAAAGAATTATAAAAAAAATTTTTAAAAGGTATACTTTACAATTTTATATTATGTAGCTTTATTTAGCTATTCACTACTGGATTTTATAAAGTTATATTATTGCATTGTTTATAGATGTGACAGTGTCTCAGTTTACTTGGTAAATACACTTGAAGCAATAATTGGGTTGGGTAAGCCACAGGTAAAACCTGGTTTTGAGTGCATGAAACGGTTAGGTTCCTAATATACACTTACACACAAGATCACATAGTGTATAATTTTCCCACAATTTCATGTGCTCACATTCAGTGTCTATGGCTATAAACAGAGAATCGTATGACATTTGGAATTTGCATCACATGCTCAAATAAAAAATTTAAAAAATATTTCCTTTTTAAAAAATTATTTAAGTACAATTATTTAAAGTAACAGCTCTTCTCTAATTGCAAAAGTGTAAAATAATCTATGAAAATTTAGAAGTATAAATTAATTATGAAAGCCTGGGGCAGTCATAAATGTTAGTAAGACATAGCTAACTAATGGATGCATAATATATTATGTCAACAGTTTTTATTAGGTGGTAATTAAACAGCAGTTTATAAAGGCACCACACCTCTTAGTTTCATCATCTGCTCGGGGGTTATTGATGAAAAATAAACTATAGGGAATTGAAAAAAACATTAAAAGATGTAGGCTAAAATATCCAAGTTATGAATAGAGTGGAGGTGGAGAATATTACCAAAATATCAATTTCAATTTATATTTTGCAAATTATGATTAACTATTACCCCTGCTGATATTCACCACATCTTTCTTTCAAACCACTTCCATTATTCTTATTTATGACCATGACATCTTCTCTACCTGCTTTGGTGGCTATTATTGATTTTCCAAAAATGTCCACAGATTTTGTTTGGTCTAAGCTTCCTAAATACTCAAGGAAGACAACAGTTATGTAAACACATAGGTTGCAAAGAGTATTGCTGATATTTGGCCTTAACTGCAAGTGGAAGGCCATTTTGAGCCAGTTCCACGTAGGAAGATATAATTCACAACGTCTTCTGATTCCTCACTAGAGATGTCGCGAACCGTCCGCGAACTTCTCGCGAACGGTTCGCCACGGTTCGCCACGGTTCGCCACGAGCTGTTCGCGGCAAACTCCGGTCAGCTGACACGTCCCAGCCAATCTCCAGCAGACCCTCCCTCCCAGACCCTCCTACTTCCTGGACAGCATCCATGTTGAAACATGGATGCTTCAACATGGATGCTGTCCAGGAAGTAGGAGGATCTGGGAGGGAGGGTCTGGGAGGGAGGGTCTGATGGAGATTGGCCGGGATGTGTCAGCTGACCGGAGTTCGCCACAAACAGCTCGTGGCGAGAAGTTCGCGGACGGTTCGCGACATCTCTATTCCTCACCAGCTGTTCTCCAAAACTAAGCAATGTCAATTAAAACACAGAATGCTGAACCCTCCATAGTAGATGTCAAAATTGGGCCTCAAATGGTCCAGTAATGTACCTTCTAAAACAATTCGGAACAGGAAGTTGACGAATGCATCACTCCCATGTTTTGTAAAATGATTATTGAAGAATGTGAGTTGCAGACTCCTTCCTTTGAGCACTACCAGAACCAAAAGTATAATCACTAGATAAAGACAATCTCCTTAATAAGATCTGCTTTTCTAAAATCATAGACTTAACTCAACAAATCTCAACAGTGCAAATTAGATTGAGAAGTGAGAGACTCTGGAAGAGAGCTACGTCTGTGTTGAGTTTGCCTTCAAACAGCATCCCTCTGCTGCTTTAACAGTGAGTTCACCAGGATTCATATTAGACATTTGCAATTCGTTTCGGTTCGCATATGAATTCGGACGAATTTCGGGTAATTTGGACATTCGGGTACTTCCAAATGTCCGAATAGCAGAAGTGCCGAATTGCCGAATTGCTGAGGTCCCGAAGTTCCGAAATTAACAAATTTCCGAAGTGTCGAAGCACAGTATGCCTAAGTATTAATATACTTACCCAGTGGAAGAAGAAGAATGTTACACTGTATATAAGTTGAAATAAAAAGTATACAAACATAGCCAGGATTCAGCTGTAAGCATTTGCAACACTTACAACAATCAAGTAACATACATTCATATAAAATGTAAGTTACTTAGCCTGTCAATGGAATGACAGGAATGAATGAGTAGATAACTCCCTAATTCCCACGGTATTAGGGAGCTATCTACTAAAAGGCTGAAAGATCTGAATTGGTCTTTCAGCCAAATTTACTAATACTAAGTAAAAATTACTTAGTATTAGTAAATTATGACCCTACTCGGTATACCGTGAGTAGTGGCATGTCTAGTAAACAGTGAGCAGCTTATGAAAAAAAAAAAAAAAATGTAAAAAAAAAACCACACATCCCTCTCTCCTAAGCCCCCACCCGTGCCGCGCGAGTGAGGGCTTCTAACCTGAAGGGGGGACCTATTGCCCCCCCCCCCAGGCTCCCACCCCTAAATGGCGGGTGGGGGCCCTAAAGTAAAATAAGCAGGGGACCTATTGTCCTCCCCCATGAGCCGTGGGTGGGGGCCCTAAATTAGAATAAGGGGTGGCCTATTGTCCTCCCCCCGGCCCCCACCCATGAGCGGTGGGTGGGTGCCCTAAAGTAAAATAATGGGGGGGGACCTAATGTCCTCCCCCCTGGCCTCCACCCCTGAGAGGTGGGTGAGGGCCATAAATTAGAATGAGGAGGGGGACCTAATGTCTTCCTCCCTGGCCCCCACCCCTGAGCGGTGGGTGGGGGCCCTAAATATAAATGTAACCCCCCAGGTGACTAGGGGTCCCCAAACTCCTAGTCACCCCCATCAAAAAAAAAAAAAAGCTTACCCCTATCTATCCCCCACACCCTAAAAATAATAAGGGGGGGGGGGCATTAACTAAGTACCTGTTAAAAAAGATAAAATAAAACTTACCATTTGATGTTTTCTTTCTTCTAAAATCATCTCTTTTCAGCCCCAAAAAAGGCGAAATCAAGATCCATAATAACGACGCACTTTAAAAAAATAAAATAAATCCTTCTTCACCCATGGAGGGCTCTGCGCAGAGCCCTCTAATTGTTGGGTTTAAGCCATCCAACCAGAGTGCTCTGACAGGTAAATGCGGAGCTCTCCATGGGTGAAGATGGATAATTTTTTTTTGCGCTAGTTTTTTTTTTTTAAAGTGCGTCGGTTATTAGGTCCCCCCATCATTCTAAATTAGGGCCCCCACCCACCGCTCAGGGGTGGGGGCCAGGGGGAGGACATTAGGTACCCCCTTATTCTAATTTAGGTCCCCCACCCACCGCTCAGGGGTGGGGGCCAGGGGGAGGACATTAGGTCCCCCCTTATTCTAATTTAGGTCCCCCATCCACCGCTCAGGGGTGGGGGCCAGGGGGGGGGACATTAGGTCCCCCCTTATTCTAATTTAGAGCCCCTACCCACAGCTCAGGGCTGGGGGCCATGGGGGAGGACAATAGGTCCCCCCCTCATTATTTTACTTTAGGCCCCCCACCCGCCGCTCATGGGTGGGGGCTGAGGGGGGCAATAGGTCACCCCTTATTCTAATTTAGGGCCCCCACCCGCCGCTCAAGGGTTGGGGGCCGGGGGGAGGACAATAGGGCCCACACCCGCCACTCAGGCGTGGGGGCCGGGGTGGGCAGTAGGTCCCCCCCTTATTCTAATTTAGGGCCCCCACCCGCCGCTCCGGGGTGGGGGCCAGTGGAGGGCAATAGGTCCCCCCCTTATTCTAATTTAGGGCCCCCACCCACCGCTCAAGGGTTGGAGGCCGGGGGGAGGACAATAGTGGGGGAGGACAAGTGCGTCGGTTATTATGGATTTTTATTTGGCCTTTTTTGGGGCTGAAAAAAGAAGATTTTAGAAGAAAGAAAACATCAAGCGCTACGGAATCTATTGGCGCTATATAAATGGCAATAATAATAATAATAATAATCAAATGGTAAGTTTTATTTTATTTTATTTTTTTTACAGCTACTAAGTTAAATGGTCCCCCCCCTCATTATTTTTAGGGTGAGGGGGGTAGGTAGGGGTTAATTTTTTGGGGAGGAGGGGGGTGCCTAGGGGTTTGGGGACCCCTAGTCACCTGGGGGACGGGGGGGTTAATTTTTTATTTAGGGCCACCACCCAGGGGGACATTTGGTGTCCCCCCTCAATTAGTATTTAGGGCCCCCACCCACCGCTCAGGGGTGGGGGCCAGGGGGGAGGACATTAGGTCCTCCCCCAATTAGTTATTAGGGTCCCCACCCACTGCTCAGGGGTGGGGGCCAGAGGGTAGGACATTAGATCCCCCCTCATTCTAATTTAGGGCCCCCACCCACCGCTCAGGGGTGGGAGCCAGGGGGGAGGACATTAGGTCCCCCCCTAATTAGTATTTAGGGCCCCCTACAACCACTCAGGGGTGAGGGCCAGGGGGGAGGACTATAGGTCCCCCCCTTATTCTAATTTAGGGCCCCTACCCACCGCTTAGGGGTGGGGGCCGGGGGGGAGAACAATAGGTCCCCCCTCATTATTTTACTTTAGGGTCCCCACCCGCCATTCATGGGTGGGGCCGGGGGGCAATAGGTCTCCCCCTTATTCTAATTTAGGGCCCCCACCCGCCGCTCAAGGGTTGGGGGCCGTGGGGAGGACAATAGGTCCCCCGCATTATTTTACTTTAGGGCCCCCACCTGCCGCTCAGGGGTGGGGGCCGGGGGGGAGGACAATAGGTCCCCCCTTATTCTAATTTACGGTCGTCCCCCGCCACTCAAGGGTTGGGGGCCAGGGGGGAGGACAATAGGTCCCACGCATTATTTTACTTTAGGGCCCACACCCGCCACTCAGGGGGTTTACTAGGCATGCCCCTACTCGTGGTATAGTGAGTAGGGGCATAATTTACTAATACTAAGTAATCTTTACTTAGTATTAGTAAATTTGGCTGAAAGACCAATTTAGGTCTTTCAGCCTTTTGGTAGATAACTCCCTAATACCGTGGGAATTAGGGAGTTATCTACCAAGCGGCTGCAAGAGAAGTTCAGAAATTCCAAAGTGCTGAAGTTACCGAAGTGGCCGAAGTTCCGAAGTACCGAATTGCCGAATTGCTTAATCCCGAATTTCGGAATGCCGAACTGAACCGAAAATTTTTCCCATGCACATGCCTAATTCAGATTCATATAAGATACTGCTGCTGGTTTATGGTTTAAACTGCTAACAAGTTACACTTAACAAAGGCACAACTGGTAATTTTCACGTTAATGTTTAGTGATAACACCCAGCTTCAGCAACTTTGTGCTTTGGTGAGTAGATCCACACTGGAGATCAAATCATGAAGGACCCAAGCAAATCGCAAAAAAACTCATCGACATATATTATAATGGAGATGTGTTGCATTTCTTCTTTCTATTTATGCTGCGTGGGATATTAAACAATAGACAGAATAGTTGTATTAATTCAGGTGGTCTAATGTCACAACGTGAAACTAACTCTTTTTTGTAACTGTTTTACTTTATAGGAAACTAATTTAATGATTTAACAGTCTATTATCTCAGCTGTGTTTGTGGATTTATTTCCTGCTTTGCCACACACACACACACAGTACCTCTGTGAATATTCTTTTACAAAGGGTAACTCAGAATGTTTGGCTGATACTTACTGCAGATTGAAAATGTAATTTTAAGCAGCTTCCAAGTGCTGACGCATCTGCTGATAAAAACTTCCCGGACCTACCTTGTTGGCTATTTAGAATTTAAAGGGTGCTTGCCAAGGAAATAGGATAGAAGTGAGTCAATCACCAAATAATGAACAGTGCCTATTCAATCCATGAAGAAATGGAGAGGGAAGTGCAAAACCGCATACATTTCTGAATTTGAAATAAACATTTTATCTACCTCTCATCTGTCTCTTCAGAAAACAAATTAATCAAATTTTCCTCTATTATTTTTCAGCTTGACTAACCTATTTTGGATTTTTTTCCCTTCTACATAATTTCCTGTGTTTGAAAAAATGAACTTCTATGGTGGCACGTTGTGAAACATAAAATGCAAACTATTCGGTATTCATTGTGTCTGCCAAATTGCTAGTTAATGTACAGATACACTCATTTACTGTAAGATTTATGCACGTAGCTCGACAATGCTGTCAGCACAAAGGTCTAATAAGTAAATATTGCAGCTGTAGTGGATGCATGCACATATACTTACTCCCTAAGGACCCAAAATAACATCCCACAATGCCTAGCAATCATTCCACAGTGCATGCGTTACATTGTAGCAGCTGGCAGACTAGTCCATAGCACATGACAGAAACGTATCTTCTGGCTTTAGGTAAATAT